GCGTTAAGCCTCACTTATTGAAAGAAAAAAAGTCGTTGCCGTAATTGTTACGGAGATTGTCGTTTAAATCCGATGGGATTTTGCACAGTATTCTACCGCTTACTAAGCGTTTCTTTATTGAACTCCTTAGGAACTGCCGTGGGAATTCTAGGAGGTTTTGTCAACGTCCGTAAAATATTTTAATATTTAAAAAAAAATCAGTTCAGACGATTGTCCTATCTCGCGGACGGGCCTGCCGTGTCCAACCAACGACTTCTTTGTTCTAGCATTACTGCAGTTCATTTTTTTCCCTCTCTTACTGCATTTAGACGCGTTTGACGTATGACATAATAAGACATACAGTAATTGTATTTTTCGTTCAAAAACGTATAAACATTTTTTTTTTTTTTTTGCTTAGAGATGTTGTTCGCGCGAAGTAAAGGGCATGTGCCGCACCGACACCAGCACCACCGCAGCGGAGTGACATATTCATTCATTCATTTGCTGTATTTTCAGTGCCACACAAACAGCTAAGAGCCGCGCCTTGGTGACAGTCGAGGTGAGCATAAAACGGACGCGTACCGGGGCTTCCCTGGTTAAGGTGTATCCACACGACGGACCAAATTGCTGTTTTGGTCCGCGGGCCGCGCATCACGTGATCTTACGTCATCGGTCTTTGAGGTCTGCCGGCGGTGCGCGGCCCGCGCTTCTGAGAAATGCCAAGCGACTTTTCTCGCCCGGACCTTGGCGGCGGACCGCGGCGTTTTTAGTGTAATTGAAGCGCTAAGTCTGGCAACAAGCTGACTTTTGTTGTTTGGATTGGAATCCAAATCCAAAGTCGTTTTCTTTTGGCGCCAACTGTTGAAGATGAAGAAGACGAACCTTTTGTTGTGCGGCGATGCAACTTGTTACTTCATCGCGCTCATGGAGCAATTCCCCGCTCTGTGGGACAATAGTCACGGCGACTACTCAGTTAATCATCTAAAGATGTCACCATGCCTCTTTCGGTTCACTTAAGTCCTCCTCGTCCTCAATAGTCAACGCTGCAGGGCCACCGTGGCCAAACGTCTCTTTCGTTCAACCTCCATCTTGGTTCCTTACAAATAGCCTCAAAGCAGCTCGCTGTATGTGTTTGGCGAAGCTGTGAGGTCGAGGGTTAAGCGTGTTTCACATGCGGCGGTTTTTGCCCTAGAACGGCGCGATTTCTGCCGTCGCGGCGCTCTCGCCAGCACCAGCGATTGAGCGGCACGAGCGCCGCGACGGCAAAAATCGCGCCGCTCTAGGGCCAAAATCGCTGCATGTGAAACACTGGTACGTTTACACCTGAGAAGAAATCCGCTGCCGCGGAAGCGGATCCGCTCCCGGCGGCGGCGGCGACGAGCGGGTTGCGTTTACATCTGTTTCCTTCGAGCAGTGGCGGCAGCGCCGGCTGCGGCAGCGGTTCCTGTAACGTCTCGTCAAATATGACGAGAAGGCGCGAGAGTTCCCGCCTCGGCTCTCTCTCTCCCGGCGTTGCTGCTCCCGGAAGAACGCGTACTCGTGACGTAGGCAGCGTCGCGCCGCGCAAGAATGGCATATCCGGTCAGCGAAACGCCTCGTTCGGCGGCAGAAATAGATCCCGGACCTAAACGGCTCGCCGCCGCGTTTTCCGCCCAGCGTTTCGCCCCAGCGGCAAAAGCTGGGCGGATTCGCTGGCGGATCCGCAAGTGTAAACGTACCATATTAGACCGGCCCGTTCGCTGTGTCGTCTGCTTTTTTTTGGTCCGCCGTGTGGATGCTCATTGCAGCCGGGCGGCCCGCGGGCCGCGCATCACGTGATCAATCGGTCCGCGGCCCGGTCCGTCGTGTGGATACACCTTTACAAACCCAGCTGCGGACGCCCGAGTAAGGTTCTCCGGTAAATGCTATCGAATTAAAAGACAAAAAAAAAATATCTAACAAAACGCACGATATTCATTGTCCTCGTCCACGGTGCATCCCGAGTAATTCGCCCAACTCGGGGTTGCCCAACGCCTGTCCGATTTCGCACAGTTTGCGAACACGTTTTCGAAAAGAGGGATCTTTTCATGTCAGACACTTATTATTGCGTTTAGTCTCCGTGAGCGGTTACCTGGCGCCGACGAACAGCGCGCGCAAATCGTTCCCTTTCGGTGCGTGACTCAGACTAATTCGATGTGTCAGCGCGCGCTCCCGGGAAGACGGTAGCGTTGATGTAACGCGCTCGTCCCTGATTCGCCGGTCAGATGTGCATACGGAGCTCGCCCGCCTCCCCCGGTTTTTTGCTCGGTGATGGATGGACGGACGGAAGCAGGCAGCCCGGCGAGTGTGCGGGCTCTTCTTCGCATATGGGGGCCCCCTAAGTGGACGGGCCCGGTGACGGGCGTTCTGTCTTGGTTCGGTTGGAGCACCTAATCTGTATGGGCTGCTGCGCGAATACGCAGACAAACTGAGGGAGGGGAAGATATGAAAACGCCGAGCTCCGATTGGAAGGATTATAGTGAATAGACGCAAAGCTGCTCTTGTTTCTACCCGCCGTCTCCCTCCAGTCAAAGTAAGCGAGAGCGTCGTCTGCCCTTCGCGCAAAGCCTGGCGTTCGAACGCCATAACTGCATAATATGAAGGTTACGTTCAATTACGAGTAGTAGTACAGGGCGCTCGTGAGAAAAGAGAACCGTGTTTTTCTGGCCGCGTAAAGAAACTATGCGTAGCGCAAGTTCGTCTGCTTCTTTTGGCAGGGGTTGTGGTGACGTCAGAAAGCCGAGCTCTGATTGGCTCTTATTGAAAGAGAGTGGGTGACCTCAAAGCAAGCCGCCTTGAGGTCTACCCACTATCCTGCAATCGGAGCCAATCAGAGCTCGGGTTCTGACGTCACCACAACCCCTGCCAAAAGAAGCAGACGAACTTGCGCTACGCATAGTATCGCAGAAAACTTGAACTTTGTGAGAATGTGACGCTAGCGGTTGGAATAGAAGCGAATGTTTGAGGAGAGAACGTTACCCAAATCAAAAGATAATTGAATTTTTTTTTTTTTCTGTGAGTTGACGTTATTAAGCTGTTATTGTCACAACAAGAACTGACATTTTGGACACGTGGGGGATTGATGTTAGTGAGAAGGACTTGACAGCCTGCAAGAGCACATTCTAATCTTTCTTGTGGGCTAGCTTTTTTTCACTGAAGTAGATACGACAGGTGCCCACAGTTTCATATCTTATTTTATTCCCCGGTCTTTGTCAACTTAATCAAACCTGTTTTTCTTTGTTTTTACGAACTGCAGCGAAAGTAAACGCTTAATCTTTGTTTGTTTGCTCTCTTTTCTTTGAAAAAGATGAGAGCGGAAGTAATATTTCGAGGGTTTCACCGCCTCCGCCAAATCGATCCAACCCTTGCCACGAATCGGAAAACTCATCTTCGTGAGATACGGCGCTCTGATTTAGCTGGCTGATGTGCGGTTGAATGCGGAGGGGGTTATCAGCTACAAACATCCGCCAACGACCGTGTCTGAATTAAAAGTGTCGCAATCGACGTCTGAAGAACAAATCCAATATATTAGATGGAATATTGATATATTCTGTATACCATCGCATGGGTCTATTATTAAGATTATTCTGATATGCTGCCAGGAATCCTGGAATACACTGTAGTTATGTAGACAGTTGGGCGAGTTGGTATAGATTGAACATAGTTACAGCGTCGAAAATAATCCCTGGAGAAGGGGAACAAGAGGGACAAAGGACATACACAAATCTCCAAGTTTGTTCTTTGTCCCTCTTGTTCCCCTTCTCCAGGGATTATTTTCGTCATTCTTATCCAACTCGCTTGCACCTTTGCATTTAATTGCATTATAATAATAGTTACAGTTGCGCACAAAGACAGGGTCTGAGGAGAGGAACACGTAGTCGTAGAACACGCTTGTCTGTCGTCTACGTGTTCCTTTTCTCTGTTCCTGTCCTTTTGTGTCCAACTGTAATGATGTTTAATGGAATGCATATTTTCTTGTTTTCACACTTTCTTGTTTTCGTCCGCCCATGTTTTCTTAATTGTCTAAGTCAGCGCTTCTCAACCATTGATGTTTCTGGACCCCTTGGGGGTTCGGTAGAGATGACGGAGGACCCTGTTCGTGGCGAGGGGAAAAAAGGGTATAGGTTAATTATGAGGATGATGTAATAAGTGGATATAACTAAGGGCTAGTGTGATCTAAACTTTTCTCATCGACATATACACGAGCAAACTCACCCTAAAATTGAAACGTTTCTTCTCAATCTGAAAAAAAAAAAAAAAAAAAAAAAGAAGACAACTTTCCTTGGCGGGCCTGACTGCTGAGACAGGGCTTCGCGGACTCCTAGAATGCCTTCGCGGACCCCAAATTTGAGAAGCACTGATCTTAGTCAATTAGCCGATAGTTAATTAGTGCTAAAGTCGGACCTTAATACACTTTTTTTCTTTTTTTTTAATTTTTGGATAGCGTTCCTGTGCGGATTGGCTTTGGTGCCCAAAGATCGTGCTGCACGTTCCAGGCGTTTCCTTCAGCGCGCGCCAGGAGGCGTACCATGCCTCGTAGCAATTGACGTGCTCCCCTTCCATTTTTTCTCTGTGTTATCATTAAACTACTACCTAATTATCATTTATAATCACCTAATTATTATTATCGTGTCTATGTAAGGCGGGATGCTCGCGTGTTCGTAAGCGAGTACGTGGCGCTTCTCAACTGTTTTTGTCGTAATCATTGTTTTTTTTTCAAAGCTTCGAAACAATGGCGAGCCTTCCGGAAAGAGTTGAACATGTTGAATGTTTATTGTTACTGCTTTTTGTGGGCTTTTTTTTTTTCGTTCTCATTTGAGTTTTGGGCGTGTTTTCTATTTTCTGATGGATATTGACTTCTGTTTAGCACAAAATACGTCTGTGGAGAAATGGACGGCATCTTTATGTAATATTATATTCCTCCCTGTAAAAAAAAAAAAAAAAAAAAAAAAAAAAAAAACATTTTTACGTGATTTTTTTTTTTTTTTTTTTTTATTCTGCAGGGAGGCTTTGCCCGGGTGCACGAGCTGACGGACTTGACGACGAACCGGGTGTACGCCGGCAAGATCATTCCCAGGTCCAGGCTCAACAGGCCCTACCAGAAAGAGAAGGTGAGTGGCGCCATCTACCTCATGCGAGGGGAACACATGTTGCATGCCGGTAAACAAAGGTCGGCTTACTTTTAAGAACAAAACAGTTTTAGTGGTCTGAAAGGCGTCGTCGCGATAAAAGGTTACTTTTTAGGTTCGTTGTAACCTCTCACGATGAATTGCGAATGCATTTACGCCGTAATGCAGCAGCGCAGTAATCACGCAGTGACCTCGCGCTTTTAGTATAGGCATGTCCAGGCGACTAACTATAGTTGCCTGGTTAGCGATGTAACCAAGCTTGCGTGCCTGGCCGGAGCCCAGCGTATAAAAACTGCTGTGCCGTGCCAGCGGCCGGCCTTGGAGCTGGTCCAGGAAGCGATTGTCTCTTCGGCAGACATCCGGCCGTCACGCGCTTCGGCCTCGGTCGCCGACGTCTCCGCTGAGTGTACGAGAGAACGACGTGTTCCGCGGCTCAGAATCGTGCGTCCCTCGTTGTCGTAGCAACTTTGGCGCATTAAGGCCTGTTCACACATGCAGCGGAGCGCTACAAGCATAGCGCTCACCTCGCGCTAAGAACGTGCAGACAGCAGCGTTCACCAGCTTTGTATGGCACCGCCAAAACTGTTGCTCATGGCAGACAATAAGTAGCAGACGACACGTGAGGTGAATAAGGGTGGCGATGTGGGTTAGTTGGTTCATACTGACGAAAAGGCAAACAGCGCGCAGAAAACGGGGACTAGAGGAAGTGCAGCGCTTGTCCTGTCTGCACTTCCTCTAGTCCCCGTTTTCTGCGCGCTGTTTGCCTTTTCGACACGTGAGGAGCGCTACATCAGCACTTCGCTGCATGTGAGAACCGGCCTTTATACATGCGCCGCGCGAAGTAGTTCTTACAAGATTTGCTCGTCGAAAGGGAAGAAACGACGATACGAGTTCGAAATGTGTACGTTTTGGGCATCATTCTTATCTAAGATGCACCTACATCGTAATGCAACACTTGAAGCAAGAAGATAGTATCGTTCCGCGAAGAGCCGGACCTCTTTTGCCTACAGTTCTTGCGCTGAATATGAGTATAGATAGAAAGTAGTAGCGCCCCATTCTCTACGTTAACGACTGAGGGCCGTCGCGGGTCACGTTTCGTACACGAGTGTAAATCGAATTTCGACTAATTCTATTTGCATTTGCATGTACGGGTGCCAAAACCACGGACAAAAAAAAAATAGAGAGAAAAAAAAAGATATTTGTTGGCTTGGCGAGGTCCGAGTCCCGAGTGCTTGGCAAAAAGTAACAAAAATGCAGAAGGCAAAACTAGCATATATACATGAAATACATTTATTAAGCTGTTTACGTACGAGAATACATATTAAAAACGTAGGTGAAGTGATTTCCGATATAAATGTCAGTACTAGGTACGCAATATCTATTGAGTAATGGGGGTAGGTTAGAACGGATTCGGCTGGGGACTGCTGTCGAATATGTGTCCCGAGTTAGCCCGTGCCTCAGAGCAGTTAGCCAGGGAACGCGAGCGCGTCCGTAAGACGCCACCATGCTATGCTTGCAGCCAGCAAGCATTACAACTGGAGCGTTCGATCATGCGCGAACCACGGTCTCTTACCAGCGTGTGTCAGCATCTGTCTACGCGCGGTGACGGAGCGTCTGAAAGAACGAGAAAGAAAAAAAAACAGTTGAACAAAACAAATGCAGCTACCGCCTTCCGTGTCCTCTGAAAACGATAAGATTGCTTTTCTTGCTTTTTTTTTTTTTTTCGTTATTTTCTTTCACAATAATCCATCCTGCAGCTTAGCGTCTGCGAGAAATATGAAAACATTCGTAATGACGCACAACCAAAACGCGGCCGAGAAATGTTCCGATTTTTCTCGTCGGAGGCGTGCACTGCCCAAACTTGAGAGCTACGTGCCTTCTATGTATAAATAGTGTTGTTTGTGTCTGCTTCCTGTTTATGCCCGCTTTTCTCTCGGAAAGATTTTAGAGTGTGTCGCCGCCCACCATCAACACCTAGATAATAAGGCCTGCTGACGTTTTTACATCACGTACCGCAAACCGGAGGCTGCGTGCGCGACAGCCCCTAAATATCGAGGCCATTTTTTTATTTTTTATTTTTATTTTTCGGTCACCTACTACTATCGAGCGGTGGGATTGAAGAATGATTGGTCACGAATTCCGCGTCAACGTTTGGTTGACATTCGTGTTCAGTCAGCACTAGAGTCGCAGCCACTGCCGCTGCAAATGAATGCTGGGAGTGGGTTCAGGGTATGAAAAAGAAAAAGCGAAAGACAGAAAGGAAAACAATATTTTGGGGGCGGAATGGAAGGCGGAATGAAAACGTAATAGGAACGCTACATTATTTTGTTCTGGAGTGAAACCGAAACATTTTTCTTATCGATTTTTGCTTTAAAGAGAAAATTCGGCTATTTCAGATTCGTTCCACGAAGTGAGGTAGGAGACCGCCGTCACTTTGCCGCCAGTACACCCGATGACGTGCTGATTCTGAGATCATGCTCGTTGCTTCGAGCCGTTCTTCCTCGCGGCGTCTTTTACTTGAGTTCTTTAGGGTTTTAGCGGTGCAATAAGTACGCACTCGCTAGAGCTTTTTAATCGCCTACTTCGTAATAAAAATGAACGTTTCGTTTATTTTTAATTCGGTTATTAATTCTCTTTGCTCGCGAACAGAAACTGTAAACGGTCTATCATTTTTTTTTCCCGTTGTAAAGCAGAAACATTTTTTTTTTCTTCATGTAACGGAACTCAAACCAGAACAGACAACGCTCCGACTCTTTGACACGTCTGCTTTCGGATGCAAGTCGCATCCTCGCTGATCACGGCGCCACGCGAGCGCTATCTAGTGCTGCAGCCGCGTCCAATCTATACCGTCAGATACGTCAGATACCGGAGGCGGGATACCGGAGGCGTCCCGCCTCCGGTATCTGACCTAACGGAAATCCATCACTCTGGCCTTCTTATTTAGTGGAAAGCTGGGTGAGTTGGTTATGCACACTCCTCTCAGCCCTTCCTCGTTTTCATCATGCTGGTTTTCTCCTTTTTTTTTTTTATTTTTATTTAGGATGTTTGAGTCAATGCGCGGAGCTCTCGCGCCTTCGTCTGCTATGACATCAACCTCCAGCCAAGAGCACCTAGTAATTCGAGACGTGACGCTTTGACGTCATCCTTCGCTTTCTCCTGTGCGTGATTGGTTTTGTCAGCCATTGCAGACGCACAACGGCGCCACGACAGTGCACTTTTGGTGCAGCTTGATTGGTTCCTTCGAAGTTGCTTCGGCTGATGTTGCGCTTGAAGTGAAACGGAGTATAGGTGGCGTTGCCCCAGCGCGTTGAGTGTGTAGCGAACCGACGCACAGGGCCATCAACCTTGAAGCACTCGCTGACAGAGTCCGGGTCAGGTCTGCGCCCCTTCGAATCTGCCGCCGGACAGACCGCCTTATCTCGCCTCCGCTGGTTGGGGCTCGTTAGCAGCGCTATCCTGTTTACTATCTGCTGCGGCCGGCCGGTTCTTTATTAGCCTCGACGACGACCGTCCTTGTGCGCTGCCCGGAAGAGCACCGCGATCGCTCGCACACGTCCTTCCTCCGTTCCCCGCGAAGCTGACAGTGCGGTGGAAGCCACGGTGTCGCCGGACCAGTCGAACGCTTGCCCGTCGTCACCCGCCCTTGCTGTATGCGCCTGGGTATCGGGTGCCTAGAACGCGTCTTCGAGTGGTACGTTTAGATCCCGCCCACGCATCAAAAGTTTCTCGCGAAGTCGCAACGGGTGACGTCACGGAAGCCGGCCTGTTATGTTGTTAGACGTCGCGATCCTGGCGGTCGGTGCCAGAAATCCCGACAAAGAGTACGAGCGAACGCGACTTTCGGTACCGTCGTGGAGTCCGAACTGCTGGCCCCCGAACCTTTCATGGACCGCAAAGAAAGGCCTGGTAGATCGCCACGAGAAGCGGCCGCCGAAATGGAAGCGGTGGAGCGGCAGATAACGGATGAGAGGAGAGCCACGTGACTGGCGCCCCGCTGCGGCGAGAAACGCCGAAACACACTTCTCCCGAGCGAACAAGTGTGTTTCGGGTCCTTACCGCTGCAGAAGCTTTGCGCTGACGTCCAGGTTCCCCGAGAGACGGCTCTTTGATGCTCTGTACTACTGCATCCTCGCTCTCCAAACCTGCGACCGGGCACTCTATGGCTCCGTTGTCGAACTGTTAGGCTTTGTGAGTATAGAGGAGGCTATGGCATGACATTTCTGTGACGTCATCAGGCGGAAATGGAGGGACCACTCTTTAGGACGCGACGCGCACGGCAAACAAGCCAGTTGGAGACGCGCTCCAGACGCCAGAGTATGGGCGGGGGAGTGTTCACGTGGTGAAAGAATGTCGTATAACTTGTCCAACGAACACGCAGCTTCCACCGCACTGTCACCTTAGTAAACGGAGTATGGTACGTCCTTCCCCGTGGCCGGCCTCGACCCCCGCCTTGGTTTTCCGAGGAGATTGCGGAGACGTGCCTCGTGCGATATTCGCTGACGTTGCGACGGTCTGCGAGATTCCACGTCTCTTGCGCACGTAAAAGCGCTATCGAGTAGGCGATCAGGCGACGAAACGTCACGTGACAAGCATGCGTGGTTTGGAAGCCGAGCGTCTTGACCTGTAGTAGTAGTAAATAGGTTTATTGAAAAGAAAATGTGATTATGTTGTTGCCTCTTGGTTGATACCATCTGGCAAGACAGAGAGATATGAGGAAGGGAAGAGATCTGATGTAGGGGGTGAGGCCCGAGGAGCGAATAAAAGTGACCAGTGATTACAATATTTGTTTTTTGTGAGCGTCCTTGATGCTTACGCGGGTCTACTCTGTGTAGCTTGAAGGCCTTGCTTCTGGCGGTAAGTCTGCGATGGCTTCTAGTTTTCGCTTCTCTGTGTCCTTGCAATAAGTCCACACTTGCTACGAGACCTCGAAGAAACCAAAGAGGACGAGGAAGGGCCAGGAAACTAAGACTGGAATCACTACT